GTATTGTGATGAAGAGGGTTGCGAACTAAAAGGGCAGAATCGGATTAGCGTTACCAGCATACTAGGAGGTTGAGGAAACCAGCAAGGAGTGTGAATAAGTCTCGCTAAATCTTCTTAAAAGGGCACACTTGTGCTAGGTTAAGGTTAGCAAGTTATAAATTGGTCTAGTGAAAATAAAAAGATGGATTTCATTCGTCTCTGACGTGTTGTATTGTTGTGCTAAGCTTGGCAGGACTTACTTAAGATGCAGGCTAAGCGTCTGGGAATGTACCAGGTCGAACGCTGGAAATTATCAAGTATACTATGGCAAAGGGCTCCGAACAAGGTGTGTTCATCTTGGTGGATATCTGAGATTCCGTAATATCTAGTGCAGATTCTTTTTTATACTATTAAATAATTAGAGCCAAACTTCCCATCGTATTCAGTATTTGACTCATACGTAAGTTAAACAATGTGCTTTGATTTTTTATAGCATACTTATTTAAACGTTGTATGACCATGTTTTCGCAACATGGTCATATTGGTAGTAAGACTTAAAGGAACGCACCTTGTCCGGAGTCTATAGTATGTATAGTGATTTCCAGGGTTGAAACGTGGACTTGGCACATTCCCAGAAGTTTCGCCGTCATCGTCAGTAAGCCTTATCATTCTTAGCACGACACTAAAACTCGTCAGAGACAAGTGAAGTCGATCCTTTGACCAATTGTCTGATTAATAGTTGTGGTATCTCTCCTGTCCTGGGGCATTCACCTATCCTATATCCTCATATCACCCTCTCGATATCACAATTTCTTACTTGTTTATCTAAACCTATTCTAGATCTGTTCATATTCCTTGCTGGTTCCCGCATCTCCCTCACTGTGCTGGGAGTGTTGATTCAAGGCTGTAGTTTAGTCTACAATTATCTTTCTTAAGGTCCCATCTAAGTCTCTCTTTCCCAATAGGATCCGTCTCTTATCTGCCTGATTCGGTAATTTCACTATCGCTGCCACCATATCCGTACTATTCGATGCGTTCTTCATTCTGCCTTAAGTCTTTGATAGAACGTATAACGCCAGCCTCACTGAGCAATTTCTTATGTCTTGATTCTCGATTCACATTGAAACCTAACTTGACGCTGCAGATTCCCTTATCACTAAGTAAATCTCTTGATAAAGCCTTTATTTCTCGGGCCACGTCTATGATCCAATTTATTTACTAGCATCCAATTATCAATGGTCTCCACCATATCTCTCCCTCTTCTATCTCTATTGCCAAGTCTATGGCATTTTATCCCCTCTTCATTTATGTGTATACCCTAAAATTCTATAGTCCTAGTTGATTTTAATACACTTACTGTAGACGTCTCTTGGTTTTGGATTGTTCCTATCCGGTCTCCTTGTCATTTATTTTCTTAAAATTATAAATATTATCTTAATTTAGTCGTCTTCTTTTTTCTGATCTCGCTGTTCCCTGATCTGTTCCGAGTTTGCTTAGCAGTATGAAAAGTTTCTGCTAATCCTGTCTTCTTCAAGTTTCATGCTCATTAAATTTCTTTCAGCCAAGATATCGATGGCTTCTCATATCTTGCATTTTCTTGTATTTTCATCATATTCAACCAGTCTTTCTGTCGATTTAGTGTCCTGTCCATGCAATGTGTTCTACTATTTAGGATCTTTCCGTATCCATGTTTCTGCAGAGTCTGATGTTTCTTGTGACATAACTTTCCATTTAGAAGGAAAGTTATTTGGAAGGGATTTGTGATGCGATCTCACCGGAAACCGAAGAAGGATTGTCGCATAGGCAAGTCTTGAATCTTGCGAAGAAGTCCTCGGCTTACCGTCCGGCGACCCTGATGAAACTATGCTGAGCTTCCCTCTTAAAGCAGGAATCTATATTTCACAAAATGAAGCAAAAATATAATATACTATACCTGCTACAACCTACAGCCAACGTCATGAATATGATGAACGAGTGTATAAAACTAAGTAGGAACTATTGTATCTGTTAGATATACTTAAGGAGAAGAGAGAGAGCAGGAAGAGCCACTGAAGAAGAGAAGGCTGAGTTAGTCTCGAGTTTAGCTAGGATTATCACATCTCCCATGACACGAACATTACATACACAGAATATACGATAGCACAAATCCAAACACGATTTAGCATTAGGTGATCGTACGCTCGTTTTTTGTGTAATGAAACAGCTGCCACCGAACGCACCTCCGGTTCTGGAAGTTAATTTCATTCATTTGCAAGCATCTAGAGTAAGGTTGAAGTGGCCAACCAAATCATGGGAGGCCTCATTAGGGTCGCGATGTTAGGCGTATATAAATGCGATCAGGGTTTCAGCCGGCCACGTTTTTCCTTGGTTTAGTGTATTTTTCTTTATTTCGTCAAATATGAATTCCTGCTCTAATGGTATCTATCATAGTACAGACAAAAGCTTAGCACAATTTCATCGGGGTAGCAGGACGGTGAGCCGAGGACCTATTTGCACAATTCAACAGTCTTTCCTACGTGGCAATCCTCCTTCGGTTTCTGATGAGACCACATCACGAATTCCTTCCAATCAATCTTTCCTTCGAAATGGAAAGCCATATCACAATATTGTACTAAAGAATTCTTCGAAATCCTGTTCTTCCTATCTGGCATTCCTTGATTTGGAGACTGATTTTTCTTCCTGTTTCACCAATATACTTCTGCTCACAGTTGTCGCATTTAGTGCTATAGACTTCCGAGCACTTCTCGTGTTGCGTCGGCAGGTTTGCGCAGAGTGTTGTCCCTTCCTTTGTTATCACCTTTATATTCCATTTTCTTATTAAGTGTCCCAATTTTTGACTCGGTTCATAAGATGGCAGGCATATCTCCTTTTGGCCATCCCGATTCCTGATCTTATTTTCATAAAATCTAGGTTGAAAAAATGCTCTTTGTAAGCCTTTGATTCTATAAATTCTCTAGGTTATCTGTTACTAAGAGAAATCCGATTCGGTTTGTCCTTTTGAGTATCCCGTTGGAACAAATGATCTCAACATCCAGGAGAGGTAATCGCTCATTCTCCTCCACTATTGTGAATTTAATTAGTTCATCAAGTTGGTTCATAGAGTTTAGGAATTTATTCAACTTTTCTTTACCATACGATCAAAGTGCAAAGCAGTCATCCAGGTATCGCCTGAGCACCATTGCAGCCAAGAGTGTCTATTAAAATCAACTATTACTATCGCATTTGAGGGTCGGCACACAAGAAACTAAGGTATATCAGAGTCATAAACTTGGGATTAAGGATAGCAGAGCGGGATGCCACTATTGGGAGATAAGTTTGATCATGCACGTGGTCCCTCAATTAAAGGCTTAACCACGAGATTAACTCGGTGCACATGCCTCTAGGCCTTTTTTTAATATGACCAAGTTGCGAAAGCAAGGTCATACATCTTCTATACAATGAACGGAGGCCATACTTAAGGCCACCATCTTGGTTTTCATACATTCGACCATACTTATTCGGGAATTCTCAGTAAAACCTTTGTAACTAATATTCCTCATTGTAGGTGGTTATCATCAACTGGTATTCACTTTTATCTTTCATAATTTGTTTAAGTTGTGTGATATACTTGGTTTATCTGTTATTCTAGTCATATATATATCTTTAATTTCAACAGCTGAAAATTCATGCATGCTTTGTTATGTGATTGAGGCCTATTATTGTTAATATGACATTCCTTAAGCGTATTTATTTATTTTCCAAACTTGATCTTTATGCTTTTAAAAAATCCAGCGGCCCCTCTTCGGTGCTGCCGATCGCCTGGATGAGGAATTCACAGTGATGCGTCTTTATATCTCCAAAATGAAAACTGAGGCTAAATCTTTGCAGTCGCGTGTTCGGCAATTAGAAGAAGAACGGGTCCAACACGTTCAATTAATGCGAAAAAGCGATGATGAAGCGAAAGACTTACGCGTTCGCGTCAATGAAGTAAGCGAAGGCTTCTAAATGTGAATATTGCCCTATTAATTGTTATATACTACTACTTATGTCAAAAAAGATTTCTCGTGGGCATATGGCAGAGTTTAATTATAGCATTGTTTTTAGCTTGTGACGGTACCTCCATGCATTTTGACTAAGTTATTATTCTTTTATCTATCTATTTAATATATTCTAGCCTCCATTAGAACACGTTTACATGCATTTCAACGAAGCTTTATTCATTATTTAATTCCTATTAATGATTTTCTCTATAGCTCGAAGTAAAAATCGCTACACTCATGGACAAGGTTGATGACAGCGATTCGCGTAAGCGCATTCTCGAAGAAACCGTGGACAACTTGAATGCCGAAGTAGCTAAACTACGTGCAAATGAGCAACTCTTGTCTGGCACGGGCGTGACCAACAGCCAAATTTTGGCCGGCCAATCTGCAATCCAAGAGAAGTTGGATGAAGAATTTAAACGGCAGAGCGAGCAGTACGCTCAGCAGGTGAAGCAATTGCGTGATGACCTTGACGAAAGACAGAAAAAGTTGGACAATCTACAGGAGTGCGTTTTATTTTTTATTGTCTGGTTCCATAGTTTCCCTAATATATTAATGCATCTTTATTCTCGTTCATAACTTCAATTATACCTCTAAGAATTTTAAAAATTATTTTGAAACTTACAATCTATTTCGTTGTCCTCGTTGCCTCTGAGCAGTCAGGTCAGCCACCTCACCTTCCAACGCGAAAAGTTACAAAAAGAAGTGGAACGTTCTCGTATTGAATGCGAAGTTAAAACTGTCCGCCTTGAGCAACTCGAGAAAGCAGCCGAGAAGCGCGAGCAAGCTCGTCAAGACCTACGTGGTCTCGAAGAAACTGTTGGAAAGGAATTGCAAACTCTGCACAATCTCCGTCGAATGTTTGTTGAAGATCTCACCAATCGAATCAAAAAGGTAAATCCTTTCTAGTTCACTAATTTCTGTATCCCTTATTTGATTACAATGGTTGCCATTCTAGCATGTGCTTACACATTACTCTATGTCTAAACATATTTTAAAATTCCGGACACTGCTCAAGCATCTCATAGTATTCAATTATTTTTGCCCTGACCCAGCTACCCAATGAGATCATTAATGGTGCCATTTACTTAGAGTTTAGAACCAAAAACTATACTAATGCAACAATGCTAATTGCTGACTTAAGGTATAACTCCCTATTTGCCACCAGCCATGATGTAAGTATCCATGTACCTCACTCTTCTAAGGCATCAGATGAAAAACAACACATATTTACTTCAGCTAGGATAGCGACGATGCGCGCAGACATTTTTTATTTTGATGTTGGAGTAACTTTTACTTCGTTTGAAGAAGCCAGTAGAAGGGATTAATAAGTTGGCCTCTACTGAAGCGATAAGGGGCTTGCCTTAACTATATCTCTGCGAATAGGTCCTCGGTGCACCGCTTTGAGACTCGGATGAATGTTTGCTGTGCTTTCGTTCGTCGTGTGGCGGACATCGTCGGGGCGGAGCACCATGCCTAACGATAATTCATCGAAACACGAAGGCAAGAAAGTCTTCAAACCTACCTACTTCCTATAGTTAGGTCCTCTTACTTAGATATCTTATCTTTGGGTTGAATATCCTATGCTTTGCCTGAACTATTTGCTAAAAACTTAAGTTAAGCTGCCGATTATATGTAAAATGGCTGCAGATGAAGCATGAAACGGGTGTAATTATGACATAATTACATCCTCCCCTAAAACATTTATACCTTTGATCATGCAATGTTACCGTATGCAATTGCGTTCCATTGAACCCATGCTGTGTGAATGCATTGCTCTTGAAATGAATGTGATGAGATAGTCAAAATCAAATTCGAGTTTAATCAAGCCTCCTCTTGCTCGGTTGTACTTCTCGTTTGCCCTCCCCCTTTTTCCTCCTAATCTTATCCAACAGCCACAAGTAGTTTCCACTAGATTTCCTACATTTATTCCTTATATTCAGGGTGTTGGCTGT